CCAGGCCGGCACCTCAATCGTTCGCGAGCTCGCCGACGCATCGACGATGCGATACGCGCGATGCGTACGCGCGGGCAGCACCGCGCCTCACGTCGCCGGAGCGAAGCGGAGAATCAATCGAAATCAGCCGCGAAATTCGCACTTATTTGCTTTGCTCCGCTTGTCGCTAATGGAGTTTGAGCGCGGAGCGGTGGGACGGGGAAAGATGGCGGCGGGAGAAACGGCACGGAAGTCCGCGTATGAATTCATGAGCTTTTACCTTTTTTTTCCTCCTCTTTGTACTGAGATTCTGATCGGTCGAACATTTTGAGATGCGAGACGAATGCGGTAGCGATTCTAAACGGGCCGAGAAACTTTAATGCTTACAACGTCAATTTTAACTTTCTCTCGTAAAGAACTACGTCTAAAGATTTATCCCGCGCCATGGGAACTTTACATCACTGCCATCTGATGTGAATTCCGAAACTTATACTCGAGAGCTGGAAGCGACATACTCATGGTCGGTATATTCGCAGCCGGTAACGGAGAGATGTTACGAAGACTCGTAGACATATTCGAAAGATATCTCCAGTTAAATTACGTTAAAAAAGAAATACTTTAAAATTCGATTTATTTGAATCTTTTCGTGTAAACAGATTTTTTATTTAATTTATTCTCATTTAATTTTCCAATTCTCTCAGATAAAAATGTATGATCTGTTTCTAATGCATGTAAGTTATTTATCGACACAAACCTGTTACTTATCTTCTTAAAAAGAAAAAAATCGTCCCTTCGAGTAATATCTCTTGTAGCATAAAATTGTTTCTATTGATGCAATTTAAACCTGTTCGGTATTTCTCTAATATTCCATATATAGCTACTAATCACTAATTAAACGCGTTGCGTTTGGAATGCAATATCGCGATTCTGTAATTGAAACGCGATACGGAATGCGATTGACTTTTTTATAAATTCCCAACCAGTTTCCTCTTTTCATATAGAAATAATAAAATACACGCGTACTGTATTTAAAATTACTTTGCCAACTTCGCATTTAACCCTCTTGACTCGCGTGATCAACCGAATAAGCGAAATTGATCTAAATCAGTACATACTAGTACAGTCTTTATTAAACATTGTTCGTAGATCGCGTCATCGTGTAACCGGGAAGCATGTTACTTTTCTTTTTAAATTTTTTAATAATTAAATTTAATCAATATAAAATTATTTAATGCAATGTTCGATATCTATAAAATATTCTTACTCGCGAAATTTTATCATATTAATAATCGATCTTTAAAAAAGTCTAAAATATGAGTAATATTGATAGAAATGCCAATATCTGTCAAACGTATATTCTTATCAGATTTTTGCACCTGTAAAATATTATCCAGATTTCGTAGAAATTTACAAATACTTTGCATATGCATTCTTATAATGTTAGTATTCTTATAATGTCGATATTCTCTGTTTGATGCAAAATATAGTTATATACATTATATATATACATTATATCAAATGTTTTATTATTTGTGGTATAGTTTACCTTGCTTTTTCAAAAGTCGCTGATGCACTACTGCCTATCGCTCCGAAGGCTACGCCAACGGCAAGACCCTCAGGAATATTGTGTACCTAGTGATAAAAATTGACGTTTTTTTGTATACATTATTATTATTTAATTTGTTAATTAATGTAAGATATAGGTCTAAATAATTATGATTTGTATAATTAGAAATATAGAATGTGAAATATAGATTTGCATAATTATAGAATTATAGAAATATACCGTAATTGCAACAACTAGGAGTAATATCCTTCGCCACTGGTTATTCTTTGCTTCATTATTGGGATCTTCATATACTGTCCCGATTTCTGCTGATTCTGACGATCTGTTTATATTTGCGATTTGTCGACGTCTACTGTTCTGTTCGTAGAAGCCTGTAAAATTAAATATTCACAACAACATTTACCACATTCATCGTAGGCGCAAATTTTCAAAAACTGAATCACGAGCACAGGATCACTTCATGCAAATGCAATTTATACAAGATGAAGGATTAAGAGAAGGAGTTCTTCACGCACATGATATTTTCGATTAAATTTATGGTTCTGGATTTCTTTAGGCAGGATTAATAAGATCAGTTTTTTCAGGCTTCGTGGAACTTTTCACACGGATCCAAAATATTTATTTTTTAATTTTTTATTTAAATATATGTTTTAAGGTAATGTTTTACGCGGACGTGCACTCTGTATTAGTGATATGTTTAAATTGTATAGTTTTAGTTCTGTCTTTGCTGTTTCACATTTTTAATCACCCCACTCTTGATTTAATTTACGTTATAGATTTTATGGTTTAGTTGATGTTTAGTTGATGTATTGGGCTGGTCGGATATTTTTATTTAAAAATTCATTTATTACATTGGATCCTTGTGTGTTTAAGTTCCACGCGTATTTCACTACAAATAATATCATGCATATACTAATAGAAAGCTTGGGATATTCTTGGAGTAAAGTGTTAACTATTCATATTTCTATTGGGGACTTTATGGAAAACATATATTAATTTATATAAACAATATGTTTAAATATGGAATAAGCAATCATCTCCGCACAAATAGATTTAGATATTAATAAAACATTTTAAATCCATATTTCACGTATCAATTTAATATTAATGTCTTAATGAAAATTTTTCCTTTAGGAAACCAAGATTATAAATATTATAATAGACATAGTATATATTTTATATCTATGAATTTAAAAGTAAAAAAAGGAAAAGAGTGGAAAAAGATGCGATCAGATTCAACTTATTTATTCTATGATCTTCTTTACCAAGCAGTTTTACTAATAATATTATCCCTTTTTATTAGTAACTGTGTAACTTGATCATGCTACATGCAAAGATTGTGAGCTACATTGACTGTATCTTAAAACAGCTAACTTTAAAAATAACGATTTGAGAAAATGCTTATTCCTGAATTAGAATCAATTATATCTGCGATAAAGCAAAGAGGGGCGAGTGTACGCGGACGTTCATATACATATACAGAGAAATATATGTATAGCATATACGTGTTACGAACTGATCCCATTTTCCAAGCCTATAGACAGAGAGAGAAAAAAAAAAAGAACTGCGATTTTACAGAAAGAGAATGAGATACCATCGATAGCGGTCGATTCGACACGATCGTATATTTTTCCGCCGGGTATCAGTACGTCGTTAAACAATGGATTATAATCATAGTCTAAGTCCTCGTCACTCTTTAATTTCGCAATGATCTTGCGTCTTTGTTTCGTACCGACTGATTGCATAGCTAAAAGCACATTGGGGGACTGAATGCCGAGGGTGGATATCAACACGTCCGTCCCGTATACGAACGCCGCGCCGATGAGAAATCCAACTGCGATCGGTACGAACGCGTACTCGCCCTCCGCTCCGTACATCTTGCTCTCCTTTGCCATTTCGATCGCCGGTGCCAGCAACGACCAGTAACTCGCGGCCACCATCACGCCGGCAGCAAATCCCAGGCTGACATCGAGGAGCTTACGCTGAAACGGAAACGAGTCATTATGAGACACATGAGCGGCTCCCTTACTCGAAAATTTGGGTGAAGGGATTGGGGAAAGGAGATGAATCACGCAATTTACTTTTAATTCTTTCCGAATTATTAGAATTAAATCTAGGATGGGATATGTCTAATATTTTTTTCCGTAATTTTCGTCATTATTGATGTCATTATTGATATAGGCTCTACATGTATAGAATTATATTTTTAAAATTATTTAGATTTTAATTATTGAGTGATCGTAAATGTTCTTCATATCGTAAATGTTTATCTATTCTGTTTCTTTTTACAATTCAGTATTTAAAAAGTTAATTGTTTTCTAAGAAAATATGTCTCGGAAATTAATCGTGGGCCTTGAAATAAAAATAAAACGTTGACTGAAGAACTGCAGCAATAATTTAGATTTCTCTTGGGCGTTCGCCTTTCTGGCCTTGCCCAATTCAAGGTGATCTGCAACTTTGATTTAGCTTCCGTCGAGACATCAGGGGTGCGGCATACAGATGTTTACTTGAAACAGAGGCTTATTTGAGAATATCGAAAAATGTGTATGTCAATATTCCGTGAGTAATGCCTTATCTCGTGTATCAGTGCGCGGACATACGATCGGCAGCATCAAGGTCTAATCTTTCGAATCGATCAAATTTATGTGCGATACCAATTAGATAATTCATAAAGCAAATATCAGGATTTTACCTGATATTGACTCAAAGTAATCTCCTCTCGATATTCAACGCACAATTCATGAACGTGCACCAGAGAAATATGCTTTCTCGTACGCGCGAGTATTAAAAATAAATAAAAATAATAATCTTCTTTTTTAATTAGAGATTTTTGCAAGAGAGAGATAATGGATATCCGATTAACGCAATATCTATCAACCTACGTGATATAATCTTGAAATTTGCTTCTGTTCCGATATATATGATACATTTTTGATTACTCATATATTTATAATTAAAACGCGACACGTGCTAGTTGCAAACTATTTGAATCACATATATAAATACAATTTTTTGTAATCTACTGCAAATGTGTCGTAAGTCTTCATTTATATTTTGCGAAATTCATGTAATAATAAATACAAGCATTAATTCATTGCATTCATATATTAAATAATACATAGCTATTTTATGAATATATAAAAAAATTATATATAAAAAAACAAAGTAGAGACAATAAAATAAGACAATAGAATAATCGTAAAAGAATAAAATGAACAGTCGTTAACTCGTGTAGAAAACTACAACAAATTACTAAGGTCAATATGATCTTGTAAACGCAGCTGTTTAACAATGTTATCGCACAAACATCTGCGTTTACAGGTCATATCGTAATTGTTATAATCCAAAAAAATCGAGAATCAACATGCATAATTTAAAATCTTTTTCACATCGCAGTTATTCTATTTTGATAGATCTGCGATTTTTTCGCTTAACAAGGTAAATTTGCAATTTCATCATGTGCTGTTTAGCGAGTATTCATTTTGCTAATTAGAAACAAGATTTATTATATCGTTGATAATGTCGGGAGATATTTACAAACGAGAAAAATATTAGATGCTAGTTGTCACTTCCGTGAAAATTATAATCAATATTAAGTCATTGACGCGATACCGAGGCGAAAAGTATATTTTGTTATCTCGCTATCGTAGATTAGAAAGGAAAAGATACTAGAAAAAAATATTAAGTTAAAAAATAAGTAGAATCTAACAACGCAATTATCATTGTCTTCGACAGAGAAGAAGATTAGAAGGAGTGACACTAAAAAGAATTTCTACTCGTCAGCTTTTATTCAATTTCTTGTAATTAAATACTTCCAGCGATACTTTCGTTGAAATTTACTACCGAAATTTAATACTCTTCAACTTAGAATAAGAAGTAGAATTTAATACGATGCATTTTTATGTGAAAAATTAATCAAATTTAATGCGTAAAAATTTATTTTTAATCATTTTGTGGGCACACAATAAATTAAATATAATATTAAAATTAAAAATGTTATGAACAACTATACTTATAATTTAATGTAAGTTATCTTCACAATTTGTGTATGTTAAGTGTAATTTCATAAAATTTCGATATCTTATGCGACGAGGTAATGAATGAAATTATTGAAGGCTACCAACCATTCGAAGGTGAACCTTCGTGGCGGTTAGCCTGATAAACCTGAATTTGTATTATTCGTACCGAAATTAGCTGCGCATATTAGGAGGCCTCTTCAAACCGGTTGCGTGTTGGATTTCGCTGATAATGCGGAATCCAACAATGTGGTTTTGTGCATTTTTTCAAATTTTCAGACACGGTATATTCACGTGGATCACGTCTGGATGACGACATGAAAGCGCGCGACATAAAGTTTGGCTTCTTCCGTGGTGATACATTCAACTCGTACACGCGCGCGAATTAAATCGCATGAAGGAAGCGGCGGATTACGCGAACCGCCAATCGCCGCACGCCGTCGCTGCCGCCGCCGACAGCGGCTGCGATTTTCATCGCGATGCAACGAATCTAAATTTAAATGCATCGAGGAATCGCGTCGAAATAATTCCGGTTACGCAAATGAAGCAAATAAGAAGCCTTTCCCCTCGAGAACGATCGAAATTTTGCGCTACGAAGTATCACGAAATGTCATTGATTGAAGGTCATTTTTTATGGGAAATTCACGAGAAGAGGAATCCTTTTGTATCGCACTTATTTCTGGCGAAGTTAAATAGAGTATTTTGCCATATGACATGATGAAAATGGAGCTAACTGCTACCAATTAATCTGGACTTCTTAATAGATGTGTTTTCTAATATTTCTTTTAACTTTTTTATTTAAAATAAAAAGCATTGACATATATTCATATTTCCGATGTAAAAACAAATGAAACAAATTGAATAAATATAATTGCTTTCTACATTTCTTTATACTCCCAATTGTTTTAAAACAAATATCATACAGAGAAGAAACGAGAAGTGCAGAAGAGTACAGTTAAGAGGCACATGTTTGATTACAAGGAAGTGTAGACCGCGTAGTTAAAAAACGAAACCAGCTCGTTCGCGCACGGGCGGATGCGCCGGTAAGGTTAAGTTCCCTCGGACGATGGGAATTGGATTCGAGATTGACATAATTCTATACGCGAAATGTCAATGGGGTATAACACGGGGTATGAAATGATTTGTCGTACGGTACTCACTTGTTTCCCCCGAATGACAACGACAAGCGCGGCGCCGGCCGCGGTGAGGGCCCACGTGAACAGAGTCCCGAGGAGGGCTTGAGTGACAGGTGAGTGATCCTTAAGCATCGCGCTGAACCTCTGTCACATCGGGCGAGGGATCTACAACCGGTTGACGCGTGTCCCACGGTGAACTGCCCACGGTGTGTCGGCGGACGCGGCGCGAAACGAGACGCGGGAGCGAACGAGCAAACACGAACGCGAACGCGAGAGCCGAACGACGCGAGATCTTCGGTCTGCATGCACTCAGTCCCCCGCGCTGCTTATCTCAACCACCGCGCGCATCATTGACGCACAAGAGTCTCACTACCACGTCGCCTCCACCCGTCCTACCACCGATACTCGGCGTGTTACCGCGCTGCAACCACCCGCCCTGCCCCGCCCCGCTGCGCCGTGCCTTGCTCTGTCAATCGCAACTTCCGAATATCGCAGGCGCGTGGGCTGCGATATTACGTATGTACTGCGTATGTAACGCACACATACACACACAC